TGGAATATTAGCACTTCAGCAAACTATGAACATAAGAACACAATATCATCAGAACTAGGACTAAAGTGTTGGAACAAAGGAACACGTGGAGATCACAAAGCCCCTTGAGCCAGCTGCTGCATCCTTCAGTGAGATCATGCCTCATTTAGCACCATCTATCACCTTGGTTCTGTAACCCTTTGTCTCCTAATCCAACAAAAAAACTGGTGGTCTCAGCCCTGAGCTCTCGCATCTCTATCAGCTTCTGAAGGGAGAGACCTTCAGTGACCTCTCTGAGTGACTGAGCTCTAACTTTAAGGCATTTCCTGCTTGTTCTGGATCCCCCACCAGAGGAAACTGTTTCTCTCTGTCAATCTATTCCTTTAATTATCTTGGACACTTCAACCAGAATACTCTTAACCATAACCTACTCTGAAGTTGTTGACTTGCTCACCGAACTGGCTTGTTCTCGTTCAGATATTTCATCACCATGCTAGGTAACATTATCAGTGGAGCTTCTGATGAAACAATGTTATTTTACTCTGCTTGGAATTTATACTGTCCGATCTGTTACGGTGAGTACTGTCATTTCCCATTTTGATCTGTATGGGTTTGTATATGCAACACTGCAGAACTACACGGTAAAGAGGAAGAACACTTATACAAGATCCTCACTTTAAATGGATATCCCCGCAACTTCATCCACAGATGCCTATATAACAGACAACAACAGGAGGACACTGTTCGACTTGACACACTGACCACACTGCCCTACATGAAGAACATATCGGAACTGACAACAAGACACCTAAGACCACTAGGAATCATGGTGGCCCACAAGCCCACAGCCACTCTACGACAAATACTTACAAGGATTAAAGACCCCATTCCCACAACATGCAGAACCAACACTCATCCACAACCCGAGCTACAGATCTTTGCCAAAACTTTAATCGTAACCTACTCTGTTTCGTATCTTCTTCTCCATGTCCCTGACCTTGCCTTCCCCACAGAACTGGAAGTACACTGAATCCACACTGAATGAGGTGGCAGGTTCTCCAATCCAGCAAGAAGTGAAATCAAAGACAGGCAACTAACTCCATTACGCCGATGACACTGTTAGCCACCTAGGAAGATATTCCACTCAAAGACTCATGGTCAGCCTCTCCCTTGCCTGTGACTATAAACATGGGACAAAGTGTTGCATCTCCACCCCGATCTGCTGTGGCTGGACAGCTCCCCTTCCCTTCCCCACTCCTGATGAAGCATTTCAGCCCGAAACATTGACCTTCTTGCTCCTCTGATGCTGTCTGACCTGCTGTGTTTGTGCAGCTCCACGTTTATTGACAAAGAAAGAAAGAGTTTGAATTTTTACATACCTTTAACATCATTTCAATGTGGAAGAGATCTTGTCAATCAGTGAGTGGTTTTGACTGGGCGGTCCCTGTCTTATTTGTAGGCAAGTGCAGCTTCAAGGGCCTACGAGTAGTGATTAACTAAATAACTAACTAATGTATTTTTCAGTGGCATTGAGTGATGAGTAAATATTGGTCAGGACACAGTCAAGAACTCCTTGCTCGTCTTCGAAATAGTTCAGTGCGATTGTTTGTGTCCATCAACAAATTAAAGTGGAAGACTGTTAGTCTGGGTGACACAGTGGTTCAGTGGTTAGCACTGCTGCCTCACAGTGCTAGGGACCCAGGCCCAATTCCAGCCTCTGGTGACTGTCTGTGTGCAGTTTGCATGTTCTCCCGTGTCTGTGTGGGTTTTCACTGAGTGCTCCAGTTTCCTCCCACAGTCCGTACATGTTCAGTTTAGGTGGATTGGCCATGCTAAATTGCCCTGTAGTGTCCAGGGATGTACAGGCTGGAGGGGTTAGCCATGGGAAATGTGCGGTTACTTGATTAAAGTGGGGAGCTCAGTCTGGGTGAGATGCTCATTAGAGGGTCAGTGCAGACTCGATGGGCTCAATGGTTTCTTTCTGCACTGTAGGCATTCTATGATTCTTCAAACATGGCTTGCTTCATTGACAGAGCACGGAAGTTATACAAACCTGCTCACACCACAGGTTCAGCCTGAGTGGAGTGTTGTACCTAATTCTGGGAAAAATGTCAATGACTTGGAGATGTCTAGAGGTTGGTTCCAGGAATGAGAGATCTCATCTCCATGAAGAGCCTCAAAACCTAGGATTGTTGACCTTCAAACAGAGAGTTCAAAATTGTGAAGGGTTTTGATAGAATAAATAGTAAAGTGTAGTGACCAGAGAAACCAATCTTAAAGTAATTTGTAAAAGAACCTGAAGATAACGGAGAGTGGTTTTAAACATCGAATTGTTGTGATCTGGAATGCAATGTCTGAAACAGCAGTGGAAGTAAATTACATAGTAATGTTCAAAGGTAAAGTTAAAATGGAAATATTTGTAGCAATATGGAAGGGATTGACATAGTTGTAATGAGTAAAATGCCTCCTCCTGTGTTGTTAATTTGAATAATTCTAGCAGCCTGCTGTGAATTTCCAAAACCATCCTGACATCAGAGCACTTTCACATCAAGTCCATCAGTTGTGAAAAGTTTTAAATACAGGGTACACAGAAGAATCTGCCTCATAAGATTCTTCTCCTGCTCAGGCAGTAACACCATTGCCTCCGAGATCAGAGTTCGAATCTCATTTCAGGATTTGTTAGCTGCAGAAGTACTCTCACCCCAGGGACAGGCAGATTTGACATGTTTTGGACCGAGATAAATGAGGAGTGTTCACGCCAGGCTGGGGGAGAAAGCTGAAAGTCAGGGAGAGTAATCAGCCGCTCAGTTTTTTGCAATCAAGTTTGAACTTGTGGTAGCTAAGCTAAGCACAGATTTTTCTCTGAAGCTACATAGTTCTGGTTCTAATGGCCTGTAGGTTCGTTTGACATCAGATCATGTAACACGCGTGCTTACCTCATTGCTGATTAAGTTGAGGTTAGAAATGAGTCATTCAGTCTGGGAGCTGGTGAGTCTACTTCTCAGAAATCTATCTCCCAGATTCTGTGCTTGTACAGACCTCAGGAGATTATATTAATGATTGGACTTTAATAAAAAGATTACTTGAACCAGAAGATCAAAAATGTAACTCTAAACACTGCCAGACACTAGGAAAAACATTAGTTCGTACTTTGTAGGATGATGTAGAACTGGAGCTTTTTTCAAATGTTTTGCCTTTATTTCCTGTCCTAATGGATTCATCTTGACTTTGCTTCAGGCCATAGGAACAGGAGACCATTGAGAAGACAAATGCCCCACTCCTGCTCCTATTTCATTTGTGTGTTCTGCCTTCCAGTCGTGTATTGTTCAATTAGGTCATGGAAAAATCAGACACTGCATTGTTCTCTAATGAATGGATTGCTCAAATAATGTACATAAAATATATAACAAAAACAATCCCTATTTATATTGCACCTTTATCATAGTAAAGTGTCCCAAGGCATTTCGTAAAAGCATGATGGAACAAAATTTGACACATAAGGTGATCTTAGGTTAGGTGACCAATAGCTCAGTCAAAGAGCTAGGTATTAAGTCATGTCTTAATGAAGGTGAGAGATGAGAGCGCCAACTGTGCCTTAGTGGATAGCACACTCTCTTATGAGTCATAAAGTATTGGCTTTACCCCCACTCCTGGGCCTGAGTGCAAAGGTTAATGCAGGGCTAAGGGAACACTGCATTGTCAGAGGCACTGTCTTTTAAATAAGATCTTAAACCAAGGCTCAGATTGCTGGCTTAGGTGAATGTAAAATGCCTTGTTGTTTCAAAGAAGTCCAGGATCCTGGCCTTTTTCTATCCCCTAATCATTCCTACAAAATATTAGATTACTAGGTTGTTACATATCACTAACTACAGTCATAAATGTTGGCAGACCATTTGCTGATACAAGTAAACAAGAAAGAGAGACTTTGAGGTTTAGGGAGAGAATCCAAGGCTTAGGGGCACAGGCAACAGAAAGCATGACTGCCAATGAAATGGGACATAGAGGTTCTGATTTGGATCTTATAGGGTTGGAGCGCATTGCAGAGATAGGAAGGAGGTAATTTGAAAACAACGATAATCAAGGGAGTCCATATAGGTCAGTGAGGAGACTGCAGTGTTTTCACAACGAATACAAAAACACAACATGAGACCAAAAGTGAGGACGTTTTAACAAAAATGTTGGTCATTTGGCTCATTGTGCTCTTTCGAATAACTATCTAATTAATCCAAAAAGGTTTTGACCAAATGATGATGATGGTTTTGATCCAATGATGATAAAGAAATGGTGATGTATTTCCAAGTCAGGATGGTATGTGAACTGGAGGGAAACTTGCATTCTACATTTTCCCACACACCTGCTGCCTTAGGTCTCATGTTTGGGAAGGTGTGAGACGTCTGGGGAAGTATACTATGTTGGTGAGGAGCCAAATTCCACAAAAAAAAAGCCATAGGCACCTCTCTGCATTCGAGAAAGACAACTGGTTATGTTGGGATAAGGCTAACCACTCCAACAAGCTACAGGGTAAGGCAAGGAGGCTTCTATGAACAAATACAGCCAGAACAGGACCAAAAACAGAAATTGCTGGAAAAACTCAGCAGGTCTGGCATCATTTGTGGAGAGAAAACAGAGTCAACATTTCAGGTTCAGTGATCCTTCTGAAGAATTTCTGTTTTAGTTTCTGAATTCCTGTATCCGTATTTTTGGGGGTTTTTTTGTACAGCCAGTACAGCGACAAAACCTACACTGTTTCCTTTATTCTGCACCAGTCTCTAGTCATTTAGCCAACTGAGCCCACACACTATGTGAAAGGTGCTATATAAATTCAAGCTGTTGTTGACGCTGAAGCTGTGTTACTGATTCCGATTTCAGACACAAGTTCCCAGAATATTTCATCACAATCAGTTTAATTTTAAGAATCTACTGTCTTTCTGTATAAATTTCTGCGCTGTTTGTACTGAAAGCTAGGCTGTAATTCATTTGGTCTCCCAAATTCTTTTCTTTTTATGTTTTTGCTTGAATAGTTCTGAAGGTGAGAGAGCGGAGCCTTGCACTGACCCTTCTGACCATGAAACGATGATCCCCTCTGGCCTGGGAGGCTCCTTACCAGAAGCAGAGGACGAAGAAATGAGACAGAGGCACCATCAGACACAGAGTAAAGAGGAATCACACACCGGTCAATTCAACCCAAATTCCAAAGCTCAGGAAGGTAAACCCATCATGTCAGCCTCCAAGTTTGACATTTTCTTCTGGACTCATCCTCCTGCACACTCGAAACCTTTCACTTTGTGTACCTCTAAGTGCAGATTGTGTCATTAAACTGCCTTTATTGTGTCGATGGGATTTGACAGATGTTGACAGTCTCACTCTGAGAGAACCATACCATTAGCGTTTGACCATTTGCCCACAAGCCCTTGACCTTCACAATTATTCCAGCAAAACCCCTCCCAGCTTTCAACTTCCCTCACCTCCCCCAGCACCCCCCTGCTCCCACAGCCTGTTCATTTTCATTCACCCAGTGACTTTGAAGCCAAGTTCAAATATCTGTATCAAGATTCTTTCTTTAATCCCAAACTGCAGGGACCAGTTGATCAGGTACCCCACATTAGCCCTCTCCCCCCACCCACCTCAAAAAGAAAGGAATGGGAAATTGATTGAGATCAGGAAAGTTGTGAAGGAGTGATGAAGTAAGCAGAAGGGATTTATTTTTACACAATGCATTTTGTTGTGATCCAGGCCGTGCTGCCAGTGAAGGAGTTGGAAGCAGATTCAATAGGAAATGGCTCAAGGAAATTGGATAAATATTTAGTGTGGTCAAACTAGCAGGATTATGAGGAAAGATCAAGTTGTCAGGGGCTAATTCAATAGCTTTTTCAAACATCAAGCACAGCCATGATGGGTCAAATGGCCACCTTCTGTGCTATAGGTTTCTATAGCTCCTCTTATGTTTTATCTTATTTTAATTGGCAGCGATAAAACATAGTTATATAAGAAAATGACTGATAACTTGCAGAAATGATCACATCCACATTGTAGCAGAGGCTGAATTATTATTTCCTGATCATTTTGCAGCAATCTAAGTGTGCATTTGGAATAAAAATGCAGCATTGGTGTGGAACGATGATCATTTTACACAGCTTTAATGTAGGTCTGAATATCTGAATGAATCTCCTTGGAGGACAATCTCTCACTGCTGTATCTCTGCGCCAGCTCTGCCTCAGTAGGCAACCCTCTCAAGTGGATGCTAAAGTTGCCATTATTCTGAAAAACATCAGGGCAGGCCCCTCCCTCTCCCCTGCACTTTGGGGCAGTATTTTATCTCTCACCAACATCAGTGAAACTGATGCTCTGATTATTATCATATTGCTGCTTCTGGGAGCTTGCTGTGCCTAAATTGGCTACCACATTTACAAATAAAAGCAGCAACTACACTTCACAATGCACTTAATTGGCTGTAATGATCCTTGGGATGTCTTGAGATTAAAAGCTTTATAATCATTTAAAATCGTAAGTGAGCATTTAGTGTACTACACTACCATCTAGTGGTAAAATGAAGAACTGTACCCACTCATTCCAAGGGCAGGATTTTATGCTCCATGGGCGGATTTGAAAGTTCTGGGATCCAGAGAGCAGCTGACGTGCTCCTGACTTGGCTGAAATTTTACAGGAAGTGGAGGAGGCGTCAGAGAGTTTGCCTCTCAACCATGCTTGGGCCTATAGACGTCATTATCTTTTTATTGCAAAAATATACTTTACTCATAGGAGGAAATCAGTATAATTCAGTATAGCCGTTACAATCTATACTGTCTTTACTTACTGAGAAGAAAACAAACATAGGGGTTCGGCTTTCTCTATATTTATAATTAAATTCTTGGCTTTTAGCTGAGGCCCGAGGGAGGGTCCAAATACTGGATGGTTCCTCGTTATGCTTTAGCAGAAGGACAGTGGTCTTTCCCCATTGCACCTTGGCAGCAGCTGCCCCAAGCTTTAGTGCATCCCCCAGCACATAGTCCTGGACCTTGGAATGTGCCAGTCTGCAAAACTCAGTCAGGGTAGAGGTCAGTTAATGGCACTGTCAGGCTAAACGTTGATCACCTTTAGTGGCCCCACATAAGGCAATCTCTATCTGATCATCCCGCTCCCTGGCCCTTCGAATGTAGCTACCCACCTTCATCACCTTCCCTTGCCAAGAACCCAATCCTAGACCCACCTAGGCTCATCTGCATGGTGTGGTTAATCTAGTCCAAAGAGTGACCACCTTGTCCATTTGTTACCACTGGGACTACAGATCTGCCACCATTCAATTGATCGGCTGCTCTCTAAGGCAGAACTTCCTCCAGATATACATAGAAACATAGAAGATAGGAGCAGGAGGAGGCCATTCGGCCCTTGGAGCCTGCTCTGCCATTCTTCACAATCATGGCTGATCGCCCAATTCAATAACGTAATCCTGCTTTCTCCCCATAACCTTTGATCCCATTCGCCCCAAGTGCTATATCTAGTTGCCTCTTGAATATATTCAATGTTTTGGCATCTACTTCCTGTAGTAATGAATTCCACAGACTAACCACTCTTTGGTTGAAGAAATGTCTCCTTATCTCCATCCTAAATGGTCTAACCCAAATCCTCAGACTGTGACCCCTGGTTCTAGTCACACCCACTATCGGGAACATCCTCCCTGCATCTACCTTGTCCAGTCCTGTTAGAATGTTATAAGTGTCTATGAGATCCCCCCTCATTCATTTGAACTGTAACGAAAACAATCCTAACCTATTCAATCTCTCCTCATATGTCAGTCCTGCCATCCCCAGAATCAGCCTGGTAAACCTTCGCTGCACTCCCTCAAGAGCAAAAGCATCCTTCCTCAGAAAAGGAGACCAAAACTGCACACAATATTTTAGGTGTGGTCTTACCAAGGCCCTGTACAACTGCAACAAGACATCCCCTGCTCCTGTCCTCGAAACCTCTCGCAATGAAGGCCAACATACCATTTGCCTTCTTTACTGCCTGCTGCACCTGTACGCTTACCTTCAGCAACTGGGGCACAAGGACGCCCAGGTCCGCTGCACACTCCCCTCTCCCAATTTACAGCCATTTAGGCAGTAATCTGCCTTCTTATTTTTCTTCCAAAGTGAATAACCACACATTTATCCAAATAATGCTGCATCTGCCATTGATTTGCCTACTCACCCAACCTGTCGAGATCATGCAGAAGGATCTCTGCATCCTCGTCTCTGTTCACCCTCCCACCCAACTTGGTATCATCTGCAAACTTTGAGATGTTTAATTTTGTTCCCTCATCTAGATCATTAATATATATTGTGAATAGCTGGGGTCCCAGCACCAATCCCTGCAGCACCCCACTCGTTACTGCCTGCCAATTTGAAAAGGACCCATTAATTCCTACTCTTTGTTTCCTCTCTGCCATCCAGTTTCCTATCCATCTCAATATACTTCCCCAATCCCATGCGCTTTAATCTTGCATATATTTAATGTCTTATATGGGACTTTGTCAAATGCTTTCTGAAAGTCCAAATATTCTACGTTGACTGGCTCCCCCTTGTCAACTCCACTAGTTGCAACAAATTTGTCAAGCATGATGTCCCCTTTATAAATCCATGGTGATTCTGTTTGATCCTGCCATTGCTTTCTAAAGGCTCTGCTATAAAATCCTTGATGATGGATTCGAGAATTTTCCCCACTACCAACGTTAGGCTTACTGATATAATTCCCTATCCTCTCTCTACCTCCCTTTTTGAATATTGACGTGACATTAACTAACCTCCAACCTGCAGGGACTGTTCCAGAGTCAGGGGCATCTTCAAGCAATTAACATTGCTCCCAGCATTAACGCGCTGCACAGCAGCCATCAAGATCTTGGGCAGGTTCCTGCAGACATTTTAACCTTTAAACCCACAGTATCTGTCGCTTTTTGAGGTATAAAGTTCCAAATTTCCACCTATTGTATAAAGAAATGCTCTTTGATTTCATTCCTAAATTATCTGATGTTAATTTCCAGGTGAAATCAACTTGTTCTCAATTTCCTTCACCATATGAAGTAATTGCTCTGCATCTACAAATAGAAAACCTGCATTTCTAGATTAACTTTCATCACCTCAGGTCACTTCAAAATACCTTCAAGCCAATGGAGTACCTTTGATGTGTACTCGCTGCTGTCCTGTCAGAAACTGATATTGTGATTCTTAACAGAGCTATCTATCAGCTAAAATATATTAAAGCAATTTCATCTCCTGACATGGGTTCTGTACATGTTACGAATCCCATAATTACGATTCCTGAAATACCAATTAAGGAACTTAAAGATATGATCAAAATGAAAGAAAAGCTTACTGTTCTGTGAAAATTAATGGTAGGTCAGAAAATTGGACATGATTTAAAAATCAGCAAAGAATGACAAAAGATTAATGAAGAGGGAGAAACTAGAATGTGAGAGGAAGTTAACCAGAAATAAAGTAAGAATTTTCAGAAATACTTTTAGAAATGAGTAAGTAAAAGTGAGTGTGGGTCCTTGAGAGAATGAGCCTGGAGGATTAATAGTGAAAAATGAAGAAATGGTGGTGGAGCTGAATAGATGTTTTATTTGTCTGTCTGCACTATAGAGGACACAGTTATTTGTAAGTCAAGAGGTGAAAAGGAGGGAGCAATATAAAACAAGGAAAGGGCATTGAGAAATCTATTTGAGCAAGTCACCAGGATGAACTATATCCGAGGGACCTAAAAGAAGAGACGCTGGAGATAGCAGATAACCTTGCAATGTTCCAAAATCTCCTCAATTCTGGAAAAGTCCTGTCAGATTGAAAAATGGCAAATGTAACTTATCTGATCAAGAAAGGAGGAAGGCAGACAGCAGGTAACTATAGGCTGGTTAGCCCAACATAGGGGAAATTCTAGAATCTAACATTAAGGGAGCCATAGCAGGGCAGTTAGAAAATCTTAATGCAATCAGGCAGAATCAATGTAGATTTGGGAAAAGCAGGTTACATTTAACTAATTTATTAAAGTTCTTTCAGGAAGTAATAAATAATGTGGATAAAAGGAAACCTGTACATCTGGTGTCCATGGATTTCTATAAGGTGTTTGATAAGGTACCTTATGAAACCTTTTTGCACAATATAAGAGTTTGTTATGTATGTGTAACATAGCATCATGGATAGAGAATTGTTTGGATAATAGGAAGTGGCAAGGAAGATAAATGGGATTTTTCAAGTTGGCAAGGTATTGACTACTGGAGTGCCACAGTGATCAGGGTGGGGCCCTGAACTATGTACAATCTACACAGGATTACATCAACATAGTCTTACCTGACCATTGGGCTGCTCTCTCATTAGACAGAAATGACTGATGGTGGATTAACCTAGGGGTCACCACACCTCAGGCAAAGGGAGAGGTTGAGAAGGAGAGTCCTTCTTTATAACCTCAGCCGGTGCAGGAACTGAACCCATGTTGTTGGCATCACCACTCTGCATTGCATAACAGCTATCTAGCCAACTGAGCTAACCAACAACCCCACAATCTATACAAATAACTTGGATGAAAAGATCAAATGTGTTGTTGCGAAGTTTGCTGAAGACACAAAGACAGGTACAAAAATAAATCATGACAAGGACATAAAGAGTCTGCAAAGGAATGTGAACAGGGTAAGTGAGTGGGTAAAAAATTGGCAAAAGGAGTATAATGTAGGAAAATGAGAACTGATCCACTTTGGCAGGAAGAACAGGAAAGCAGCAGACAATTTAAATGGAGAGAGATTTCAGGACTTGGAAGTATAGAAAGATCTTGGTGTCCTAGTACATGAATCACAAAAAGTTGGAATGTAGGTACGGCAAGTGATTTAGAATATTGCAATAGAATACAGAAGGAAGAATGGAGAATGTCCAGGACCACATCTGGAGAACTGCGTACAGCATTAGCCTCCTCTCTAGACAAAAGACGTGAAAGCATTAGGAGCACTTCAGAGAATTGTCATTTGACTGATTCACAGAGTTAGTTATGATGCAGAAGAAAGTCCTTTAGCCCGGGTGATAAGTTTATCCTTGGACACGTTGGGCCTATATCCGAGATAACAAGGTGTAGAGCTGGATGAACACAGCAGGCTAAGCAGCATCAGAGGAGCAGGAAGGCTGACATTTCAAGCCTAGACCCTACTTCAGAAATCTCAACTTTTCTATGAAATCTCAACTTTAATGAATGCCCTTCAATTTGTAGGTAGGGCGCTCAAAATGTCAGAAAAAGTGAAGCTAATTATAATCCCTTTCCAAGCAGGGTAATAGTTACTCATTACTGATGAAATTTTTGGGTTTCTCCCAAAATCAATTGATATGGACTGTAACCTCCAGTGATTACAGTGAGTTCTTTACCAACACTGCCCACACCAGGACAGATATTAACTTGCAATTTGGTTGGTATGCTAAAATTTTGGGAAACATCTAATCTCTCACTGCATGACTTTTTTTCTCAAACTCCATAACTAAAGGGAATTTCTGCTGCCAGTGTTCACTACCAAAAGTACAGGTTTTCACACACATCCCAAAACTCTTCATCGGCAAATTCCCCCACCTTGTCAGTTAGGAATTTAGCCAGTGTCCCCAGTTCAGTTCCAATCTGTTTCTCCATTACCTTGCCCATCATAGCACTTTCCCTTTTACTATATGTTGTTATAGACTGACTAAATCTAATTGCCAAGTCTATGAACTGCAAGGAGAAAACTTTATTTTTCCTCATCCATTGCTTTCAAATCCATGGCCAAAACTTTCATAAATCTCTTGCTAATGGGAGGTTCACAATGGTCAGTGGTGGAAACTGCTTCTAAATCATTTAGATAACAGATTTATTGCTGATTTCTTCTATATGTTTACTGTACATATAGCCCCTTACTCCTGTACCCTTGAGCAGGATTTTTAACCTATGAGCTGATAGATGGGTAAACTACTGATGTCATTTTAAGGTAATTTTTTTTCTGACCAAGTATCAATGGGCTGAAAACATACAGTTTTTCTCTTTATGGATACTGCCACATTTGCTGAGTTTCTCTTGCACTTTCTGTTTTTGCTCCATACCTCTACTTCATTTCTCAATCATTCATATGGCTCAACTTCACAAAACATCAATGGGTAACCATATTTCAACACATTTCACTTGGTTTCAGCCATTGTTCTCAAAAGTAACTCAAATTTGCAGGCTTTCATCTGAAAATAACTCTAAATTTACAATGTCCTGCTGCCAAAGTCAAATTAGATTAGGGACATAGAACACAGGACACCAAGTCCTTGTGCATAAAGTTTATTGACTACTCAGTCACGCACCTCAGTCCACACTCAATACCACTTATTCTCCCTTTATATTTTCTCAGTAACTTAATTAGTCAATTAACCCCAGTCAATAGTGAAGTAACTCCATGAAGGCTGGTATCCCATCACCAAGTCACTTTTTTTTACACATGCACAGTACATGATATTGGCTCAGCTAGCTCAGAGCTGGCTCCTGGAGTGAACAGAACCCCTGACACTCCTGTTCATATCTGCCAGCCAGGGCTCCCTGATTGGACCAGATTAACACCCCCAATCAGGGAACTCATATTCTACGAGGTCCACCTGGCTGACCATCGCAACAAGCAGCTTAACTCTTCCTTTACTAGCAATCTGTACATTCACATGTATACATGTTCATATGCCTCTGCTGGTGCAAGGCTGAAATTATAGTATGATATGTTAACATAGGCAGTTCCTCTTATAAATGTTGACTAACAAATTAGAAATATAAAAACAAGGTAGGGATGTACGACTTCAAATTGGGATCTGAGATAAATCTGTACGTTTGGTCAAATTATCCCTTACTCTTTAAGCCTGCATTACTCAAAGACTACACTTGGTCACAGCAACCCTGTACGTGGTACTGTGAAATATTATCTAGGAAGGCTTATAGAAATTCTTCCAATCATTTTTAAGTGACTCTTTCACACTGGAGTTTTCTTTAACCCAATTATTTGTCTTTTCTGTTTTATGTCGCAGCACTAAGCCGAGCTCAGAGCTTCAGTGCTCCAAGAAGCAACAGGCAAGAGACATGGAGGAAGAAAATCCAGATCAGTAAGGAGAGAAATATGATTAAAATTCATTTTCATTCTCTATGCATGCCCTTGAACAGCCAACATTTTTAACTCTCAATAATTGGCAACTGTACCTGCAGCTACTGGGCTCTCGAGTCTGGTCTTTCCTCTCTCAGTCTCTCTGCTTTCTCTCTTCTAAAACACTGCTTAAAACCTACCTTCTTGGGCAAACGTTTGCTCCCAGATCCTAACATCTTCTCATCAGTCTGTCAAATTTTGCCTGAAAATGCCCACAGTGGGACATCTTATTGTAGTAAAAGCACTATATAAACACAAATATGACACAATGTGGAGCTGGAGGAACACAGCAGGCCAGGCAGCATCAGAGGAGCAAGAAAGTTGACCTTTTGGGTCGGGACCCTTCCTCAGCCCTAACCCTAAACCCCATTTCTGAAGAAGGGTCCCAAACTGAAACATCAACTTTCCTGCTCCTCTGATGCTGCCTGGCCTGCTGTGTTCCTCCACCTCCACGTTGTGTTATCTCTGACCCCAGCATTGGCAGTTCTTACTATCTCTGATATAAATGCAAATGTTTATTTAGTGATTTGTAATTGAATGAAGGACATGTACATTACTTATATTTGATGTCTGTTATTTGTATGTTGATTAATGGAGTTTAAAAGTCCAAACTTGCCAACTTCAATGCGGCTGAGATAGTAATCTTCCTGTTTAGGAATCTTATCACTTCTCAAAAACATCTCAATACATTTCCCATACATTGCTGTCAACATGCAGTGAATCTGGTTATGTAGGCGTTTGGGGGAACTTTTGGACGTAGATACACTGAATAAGCAGGATTAGGATGTGGCACCTTACCTGAGGCAGGGAAGCAGTCTATCAGTAATGCTCAGACAGCATCAACCTGGATTCTGTGCTCAGCTCTTGTTTGGATCTTGAACCCATAACTTTCTGACTCAGAGGAGCCACAGTTGCATCAGGCAATTTTTTGAAATTGGTCATTACTTTTTACCCATCTCTACTTTCCTTTTAGAAGTGGAAGAGAATCATCTTCCTGAACCGTGTGCTCATACAATGCTGGATAAAAAGGAAGACTAAATCCATTCTAGTGCGTTAGTGACACAGAATTTTCTTACGGTCTATAGCTTTATGATTCTTTCACTGGGGATTTGTGAAAAATCGCACTCAAGACAAACATACACAAGTTCCATTTGTAGAATTTTATTATACATTCAAGAGAAAGTTGAAACCACCACTACTATATAAGGTTTAATTATAAAACAAAACATTACACTGTGAGCAGTGCAGTAACAATGGTACAAAAGATTATCAGAACTCTAAAGGATGACCAGTCCTTGTCTTTTTGAAATGGTTCACAAGATGTGGGTGTCACTGGCTAGGCACAGTGTTTATTACCCATCCCTAATTGTCCAAAGGGCATTCAGGAGTCAACTACATTGTTGTGGATCTGGAATCACACATAGGCCAGACCAGGTAAGGACAGCAGTTCTAACCATGGTGGGATTCAAACGCAGGATCCCAGAACATTAGCTCTATCTCTGGATTAATGGTTTGGCAATAATACCACTAGGCCATCTGCTCTGTAAACAAGTGTTAGCTGCTAGATCCTTCTGCTGAGATGACTGACCATGTATTCTCCTCCTACCTGCACCTCAGTGAAGAGTTAAATAAACATAGTGACTGATAATATGATATGACCAAATGTCTGCCCAAGAAAGTAGGTTCTAAGGAGTGTTTTAGAAGAGATAAGGCAGAGAGACTTCGGGAGGGAAGACCAGACCCTAGGGCCTGGTAGCTGAAGATACACATTATCATCAAATCTAGTGAATTGACAGTTAGACTTTAAACTCTGATTGGCCAGATCACTACACACCTACTGCAGTAAAGAAATTCTACAACCATTGGCTTTTATACCGTTTAGCTTTCCACCAGTGCAGGCAGTTTGTGAACAGTTCATCATTTAGTGATGTTCAGTTGGACATGGCTGGGTTGGCGTTGCTAGTTGTTGGTGTTCATTTTTGTTAGTCATAACTTGTTAATTCTCAAGGTCTGTTCCTTCATTCCAAATACAGATGTCTCATCTCTGAACACAATAGTCTTGTTCAGTTTGATAACACAGTCTGAAAAAGAAGTTTACCATAGAATAGGACAGTTCAACAAGTTTTAACAGTAACAAGTGCTTTTCCCATCAAGATCCCTCAGCATCTCAAATCATAACAGCAACTTGGTTCAAGGCAACAGGGCAGTAATTAAAATCTGCACTTTCTTACAGCGGTGTTGGGGTTAAAGACAGTTGTTGCTAGCTAATCCTGCGGCTATAGGTAATTTCAGTTGAAAAGTAATTTGATCAATAGAAATAAGACTTTTGAAATCAGCATCGGGCTGACTTTTTACTTTACAGGCAATGAGGTTTTTGAAGTTAAAACACTGTTACAATATGGGAAAGGTGACACCCAATTTTCACACAGCCAGTTCTCATGAGCAGAAATTGCTAATAGAGAGATAATGTGTTTTTAGTAATGGTAATTGAAAGATAGATATTGTCCAGGGCAATGGGAAAATTCCTATTCTAAACAGTGCCACATCTGCCAAATGAGTAGACAGGGCGTCAGTTTAACGTTTCATTCAAAACACAGTGCTTCTAACAGCGCAGGACTGCCTGACCAGTGCTGCAATGGGAACGTTCACCTGGATTTTGAGCTCAAGACTCTGGAGTGCAAGTCGACCCCACGGCCTTCTGACTCAGAGACAAGAAAGTGCAAGCTACTGAGCCATGGCTTGACGTTTATGGAGCAATTCCTGACATGTTGAGATTAAAGAGATTGTTATGGCTTGTCTGTTACTAGATTAATTAATGTTACCCTCAAATGCCTCTTATTGCCTTAAATGCTTGAATTCTGTAATTTGATTTATAGTAATTCTTGTATTAGTTATTTTCCCTAAGAGAGCCACTTTAAGTGAAACGACAATGAGCAAATCAAATTTCCCATTAAACCCAATCTAACAGCTTTAATTAACTTCTACAGAAAGCTCCCAACAGAAAAAATGTATTATGATATTAGGTCTGGTGAGTTTAAGTACTGTACGTCACTAACTTAGAAGGCTGGTACATTGCAATAAAGAGTAGCATCGAGTTGCAAGATTTTGGAGATAAGTCACAAACTACAGAGGCGGTGAGTAGGAGGGTCGACGCGAAGGAGGAGTGGTGAACAGGAAGGGTCAGAGAGAGCAACAGTCAGGGAATGGAAGATTCAGAGAGGAGGAGGACTATGAAGTGGGAGGGTTGGCGAGGCAGGGTCAGCGAGCGTGAGAGAACTCCATCACATGCAAGGTCCCCTCCAGGCGACAGAGCATCCTGACTTGGAATTATATCATCAGCGTCACTGGGTTGAAATTCTGGAACTCCTGAAGCATAGCACCTTCCCAAGGGTATACAACAAATGTTGGGCCAGACAATGATAATCATGTCATGGACAAATAAAAACAAAAAACCAAAACAGACAAAGTGTTGTCATTTTCTTCACTGTTGTGCCTTTAACTGCCTTGAGAGGGCAGTGGTACCTCACTGGTCAGGACTGAAATAATCCTGGATTATTTTTTGTTCAATTGACTTTGCGAGTAATACGCATCAATTTCTGTTAATAATTTTACATAAGCTATAATTTTGACTATTAAAATTACAGTAAGTAGCTTATACAATAGAAAGAGTGAGTTGTTTTCTATCTGCACTTTAAAGTCACTGATCATACTTGAAAGTTTGCTGAGAAATGTGATAACATTAGAAATTGCGAACCCACCAGGATTGCCTTGGAGTCTCCAGGAATTGAACATTAATCTCTCGGATGGGATGGCAATGAAAACCTGTGCGAAAAATCACTGAGTGGGGCAAACATATTTTTGTGTTTTTGTAAACATTCCCTTTGAGAGTTTTTATTGGGTATACAATGTTGGTGATGGGGAGATTGTGTTATGAGAGTGAGTCAAGAATAAGCCTATCAGGCAATGAAGAAGTTTGCTTGCCTTCTGGTTGGCTGAGGATCCACAAGAATGAACAAATGAGGGCAAGGCAGCTGGAGGTTGTATGGTAACATCTCTGGGAATTGGTCCAATTGGCAACCTCTAGATTGTGTGCTTTATACATTTTTCATTCTTCAATTACTTCTCAAACCAAAATTATAGTTAAATCGCTGAGAGTTAAAATCTTCCATTTTTCTATTAAAGAGCTCCCTTTGCTGCTGCGGAAAAAGATTGAACCAGCAATGAGAGAAACTACCTTGAATCAAACGAACTCCAGTGAGATTACAGACCATGTCACTCAGGTATGGATAGTCAATTGGTATCTAGTGGCACTTGCTTTTCAGATTGATTCATAATCATTTAGGAACCCAGTTAAGAGAAAAGAAAGAAACTGCATTTCCTTAACGCCAAGCACAACCCCAGAATGTTTCAACACAGTTCACAGCCAATGAGTTATCTTTGAAACATGATCACTGTTGTAATGTAGGAGATGGCAGCTGCTAATTTGTGCACAATAAGCTCAATGAAACATGGCCAGATCATCTGCTGGTTGAGAGATAAATATTTTCCGGGGGAAAGGAAGAATGCGCCTTGTAAATAGTGACTGTCAGATCTTTTATCTTGAACTGCTGGGGGAGGGTACGGGGAACTCAATAAAATTTCTCACTCAATACGCAGCAACTCTCAGATTGCAATACTCCTCTGTTCAACACAGATTCTGTCAGACTAGATTTCAGGCTTAAGTCTTTGGGATTGAGCTGATTCAGAGGAAATATTGAGCCCTGGTTGACATGGAGAAAAATCACCATGGACAGCCTGGTTGGTCCAAAACTGGAAACACAGGGTGTCGCTAAGTGTCTCTTGTGGAAAGCAATGCATTGAGAGGAGGAAAAGGAGATTGTGAAATTTTTAAAAAAATCTTATTGACGGCCGCGAAAATGTAAATACTAATATTTACAATGACAGTGACATTCTGCTGATCTGTGCAGCTGAGATATTGAATATGGCGAGCTCTTATCAGTCTCCAGTGCTGCTCGTGGACTTGAATGCAAGCAGATTGGGGCATTGTTAATGGACAAAGCCAGCGTAATCTCTTAATTAGCACAGAATGTTCCTTTGTCTCATGGTCCTTGGAGACATGGCATGAACTGGCTCACTTTCTGCTGATTATGGAGGCTCAGCAGATTTATACACTTGTAGCTGAGGCACAGAATAGAAATCTCTGAAACAATTTGCTGGTGCATTTCTCAATCATTTGTGAAACATACTAAAGGAATGACAGGCAATTTAAGAATGTTCTTCTTCCAAGATCTCGTTCTCCCTTTACGTTCTTTGATATTACTTGTTTTGGTCAGCTGTCTGTCTGATGGGTTCAGGAGTCTGCCACCGTGCAGTGGGAGGATTACGCATCCTTGTGAATGTGCCTGGTTAGACTATTTGATTGCACAAGCCACGGAAGTATGGTCTTAAAGGGACAGGCCAGGTTAGCGAAAGCTACACCCCAGCTGGTGAGCAAAACCACAGGAGATCTGTTCGTTCTGATGGAAATTCCTGAGTCACCTCAGTAAATTAGGGTCCAGATTCGAATCCCGGGAGGAAGTAGAAGGTCAGTCTTAGCTTAACCTGAAAGGTTGATTTCAAGGCCAGTTTTACACCAATCCAACTATGTGTTGAAGTCTATCAAATGGTTGCAGTCCATGTGTGATTGTGCGTGTCTGAGTGTGCTTGCATGTGTTTGTGTGCCTGTAGGAGTATATCTGGGTGTGACTCAGTCTGTATATCCATGTGCGGTACAAGTGAGTGTGAGAGAGCGAATGATTGCGTAGGTGTGGGGCTGTGCGATGTGGTTGTGTGTTTGTGGCTGAATGTGCATATTGAGTAAGTTTATTTGAGTAAGTATGGGGGTGTTGTAGGTGTGTGATTGACTCGGTGTAGGTGCCTTTACCACCAAGTACCAACTGGTATATTGTCTCAGTGGTTTAGATCAGGCCTTCCCAATGTGGGGATCAATGTCCACAGTGAAGCTCTGATTGAGTTATAACAGCTGCACTCCTGCTGTAATGGATAGACCCCACTTTCACAGCAGCCCCTGCACCTCTACCTCTCCTAGGTCTCCAATGCCACGTTCCTCCCTCCTCACCTGATCTCACTGAGGGAGTCGTGAAAGTTTGCAAGCCTTGCAATGTTTGTGAAGCACTGGTTTAGACAGTGAGTTTCACCAGGCAACATGGGGCGGAACAATTCCAAGTCAGCCCGGTATGATTCATTCTGGGGAACCATACGCACCTAGATTTCAGCCCCAGTGAATGTTCAGCAATCAGGAACAGGAGTCCTGGCCTTTGTTTTCCTCTTGTGCAGTGTGCAAAATTATTACCCTATTCCCTAAACTGCCTATCACACACAGCCTCAAGTCATCTATGACCTTTGATAGATTTAGTAGGAACTGCAGATGCTGGAAAATCTGAGACAACAAGGTGCAGAGCTGGATGAACACAGCAGGCCAAGCAGCATCA